CGATCCGCCAGCGCTGACTGGCGGAATGGACGGGGGAGGGGGCGGGTACAGCTGGCTCTGCCTCTAGATAGGCAGAGCCAGCTGTCAGTCACGCAGCTGGGCGGATCCCGGCACAATTGTCGGGATCCGCTTCAGCTGCGGCGTCTCAGTATACCGCGAGCTACAGCTCGCGGTATACTGAGCTTAGGGTGACGGGAGGACGCTAGTTTGTGTCCTCCCGTTACCCTAAGGAGAACTATGGGGAAAAGCCTTAACCCCATAGTTCTCCTTTTAAGAGACATACTGGTTGTCCTGTGAATGGCCGCTGTACTGAGCGATTGACCTGCTGTGATTTTACAGTGATGGGGACATTGCTCAGCACAGAGACTGTTCCTGGAAGATCGCTTTACTAGCTGTGGTACTAGAGTGCTTTACAGGATCCTCGTGGCCCTGCTAAGGATCATTTATTTATATGTGCATTGAGCCAAGCTGGGCCAACGTAAGTATATATACATTTCTGTAGCTGGAGTTCAGCTTTAAATTAAAGTGACACTAAACTCAGTTTAAATCCTAAAAATGAGAGTAAAAAATGCTGCTTTTTCAGTGGACAGTAGGATTAATAAATGCCCCCATGTCAGTAGGAGTGAACAATTTCCACTTTGTCCATAGCAGTAAAAAATGATCTTGTATTTTGGTCAGTGAGAGTACAAAATTCCCCTGAGTAGGTGGTCAGTAGGGGTAATAAATGGTTCTGCATCGGTGGTCAGTGGGAGAAATAAAACCCCCAACAGCATTGGTGTTAGTGGAAGTATAACCCCCTCCCCCCAGCACTGGTATCCTCACAAGTAGTAAATAGTCTCTAGCATTGGGGTCAGTAGGATTAGTAAAAAGCCCCCAGCATTGGTCTCAGTGGAAGTAATTAAAGACCATCCAGTAAATTGTGTCAGTGGGAGTAATAAAACACAGCCAGGACCAGGCACTGTTGGACAGGTCTCTCTGATCAATATTGCCGCGTGCTGAAATACTTTGCATTCGAATGGCCACCACTCACTGCCAATCTGCACAGCAGCTCCCCTGGCATACTATAAGCAAGTCCTGAGCAGCATACTTATAAGCAAGTCCTGAGCAAGCAGGGCCTTCTCATTGCAGGGGCTGGCTTACATCAACCTGTAGGTTATAACTGACCCGTGGGCCATAGTTTGGGGACCACTGGTACTGAGCATATTACTTCTTTCCGTGTCCCATTAAGGCCTAATCATTCGATGCCTCCAGCATAAATGCTTTGTAAGTTCCGACCCATGTGCACATGTGGAATGTGCACAAGGCCAAGCAACCTTACCCCACCCCCACATGACAGTGCTTGTTCCTGTTGATTGGTCTCCCAGGCACTGAGTTTCTTGTTCATTGTGCAGAGAAGAGAGTCATTAGCATCTCCGTGAACAGAAATATCATGTTTTTCTCCATCAGTGTAGGAAAATAAGGTGTCCCTCTTTATTTATCTGCCTGGGTACTCTTCATCCCCCCCCCCTCTTCAGGTCTACCAGCAGTAGTAGCTGCAACCCTCCCATGGCTGAAAGTGGTATATGTCATATTTCCTTTTTACCTGGTTTAAAAAGTAAACAATACAAAGTTATTTTTAGTGCTTTTATATAAATTTAATTATAGCTTATTCTATATCAGTTTTAATATACATTTTATTTTAAATATCTCTATTACTCTTCACAGTAAAGCATAATAAAATTCAGAACACTTAAAGATGGATGAAGAACCAGAAAGAACCAAGCGGTGGGAAGGTGGCTATGAAAGAACATGGTAAGGACAGTGTAATCTGTTCATTGTGTAATATATGTGCTGGGCTATTAACCATGTGTTTAAAATGAATTGTTTTCTTTTTCAGGGAGGTTCTCAAGGAGGACGAGTCAGGATCCCTAAAAGCCACAATAGATGAAATTTTATTTAAAGATAAAAGAAAAAGGTATTTCTTTTTTTGTTTGTCCAGTGCTATCAGATTTAAAAAAGGGAAGTATAAAAAAATACAGGTCTGTTTGTTATGCATTTGTAGTATACTTACAAGTGATTATAAAATAATAAAAAAAACACAATAGATATTCGTTACCAAGCATTATTTTTTTTTCTTTCTTTCTTACAATCAAAATGCATTTTCCTGCATTTGGGAAAAAATAAATAAATTAATTTTCCAATTTATACTTGCCACACAAGAAAATGTATCAATTTAAAAGAAAATTATATTGTCAGTTCGCAAAGATTAGCACACAGGTTATCACTCAAAAGGCACCTGTGCCCACGCCATGCACATTAACCCCTTAGTGACATAGATTCAGAATTGTTTTTTGGGTCCTGGGGCAATTTTACCATGTGTTTGTTTAAAGGAGAACTATGAGGTGAGTGCTTTTCACTCACCTCATAGTTCTAGCCGACCTGTGACAATGAGACTGTCACAGGTCGGCTCAGTAGATCGGGAGGTGAGCGAACACATGCCGGTGTTCACTCACTTCTCGATCCTGTCATGGCTCTCTGCCGTGACAGGGGAGGGGATGGATTCCCCCCTCCCCGCTCCGATCCGCCATCGCTGACTGGTGGAACGGACGGGGGAGGGGGCGGGTACAGCTGGCTCTGCCTCTAGATAGGCAGAGCCAGCTGTCACTCATGCAGCTGGACAGATATCAATGTCGGCATCTGTTCCGACTGCGGCGTCTCAGTATACCGCGAGCTGTAGCCCGCGGTATACTGAGCTGAGGGTGACGGGAGGACGCCAGTTTGTGTCCTCCCGTTACCCTAAGGAGAACTATGGGGAAAAGCCCTGACCCCATAGTTCTCCTTTAATCATAATTTCCATCTTCCTCATTCTCTGCACCTACACATATCATAAACTGTTTTTTAAAGAACAAAATGGGCCTTAATTTGATGTGACATATATAAATTGTAATTTTATTGTATAAAAAATTGCACAAAAAAAAAAGGATTTTTTTTTTTTACAGTTTTGGCAATAATAATATGTACATAATTAGTATAGCTAACAGTAATTCATAATAAATTATTTTATTTGTCTTGATTTTATAGCGTGTGTCATATGTCTGGGATTTCAGTTTATTTTAGGAGTTATAGGTCACAAAAGTGAAATACAATTTTAGTTTGGAACAATTCTAGAATGTGTTATGTTTGTCTCCTATTTTTAATAGTCTCCTCTGCACTATATTTTCTTATCATTTTTTTATTAAACATATTTTTTTTTTCTTTTAACATTTTTAAAAACTTTATTTTTTTATTTTTTTAAACTAGGGGGCACTAAGGGTTTTTTTAAATTTAAGGGGGCTTTGATACTTAGTATCTCTGATCTTTATCGCTGTGATCATAGTACTGTGACCACCTAATCTACCTCGACCCAGAGGGACCCAGCAAAAGCAGTAACTCAATGAGCGCTGGTCCCTCCACGGACCAGCACTCATTCTACTGCCTGACAGGATTATCCTGTCACCGGTCATTAATGAACTGAATGATTGTGTTGGTATTAACACGTCATTGGTAAAGAAGGAGTTAAAACCAACTCCAGGCTCCCTTGTTCCTTTGACGGCCAGCAGTCTCCTATGTTGTCATATACTTTTGAATGTGGGTCAGCCTTTGTGGTCCTCTCATACAATGCAGGACTACTTGTCCTGCATTCTACATGATGACGTTAGAGAACTGCGACCAATCGGAGCATAATACAAAACATGTACACAGTGCTCTCATTCAGATGTTTCCTACTTCTTTTGATGCACCTTCTAATTGTCATATCTGGCTATCTCAACTGTGGGAAGGTGAATTCTCTCCTTGTTATGTATAGCAGGGTTTTTCCATGCCTGCTAGAGGTGCGGCCTGTACCCTAGCATCTCCCTATGCATGGTTTACAAAAGGTTTTAAGGAAAGTATAAAATCCCTTTAAATTGATGGCCAGGAAGCCAGCAAAACAGTTGGTGGTGAGGTAACATTTGTATTTGGCAATATACATGTAAAATGCAGTGTATGATTTATATGGATCTGTTTCTTTTTTACAGAGTTTTTGAGCATCGTGGACAAGTTAGACTTGGAATGGTAAGGAGTTATTTTAAAACTTTTTAAGGATTTTAAAATAAACTTGAACTACATGGGAATGCTGAATTGTTAGTGCTCCTAGGGATGGTGATCAGTCAGTGTGCGTAGTCTGTCCACTAAGCAGTTTTTTCCTACTGTATCACTACATAACATTGTATGCTGATTTAGAAATATGTGGCTCATGTATACAGAGGGAGGATTTGGTTAGACTTTCCAGCAGTGAAGCGATTCCTCAAGAGACTTTTTCCACCTTTTATATTTTTGGGACATTGTGGCCACTTTGTCGTCCTCCCCTTTTCTCTTTTTTTTTTTCTTTTTTCAAATAGTAAGAAATCTGGAGCATTCACTGCTTTTTATCTTCTTTATTGCTGTTTCAAACTAAAGCTAAGTGAGGATAAAAAGTCGAGAGTGTGCTGAATTCCTACTCTTAAACAACCGTTATCTAAGCTAGTAAAGTAGGGTATACACGGGACCCGCAAACATTCTTACGAAAGAAAATCAGCAGCGCTTAGCGATTGTTGTTCAAAAGTTCATTTGATTTTATTTAACATTTATTTTGGAATTAGTCGAGTTTCCCGAACGAAAACCACATCTACTGCCCGTTCAGCATTGCGGTCATCGGAAGCCCGCCCCTCAGCGGGGCGTGCTTTCGATGATCGCAAGTACGATTTGCCTGTCCAAGATGGGCAGATCGTACGAGCTTTTAATTAGCTTACAACCATCACAAGTCAAAAGTCTTGCAATGGTTGTAAGGTGTATGGGAACCTTAACCATGCATACCCTATATCCTGAGCAGACACCCCTGTATTTAGTAAAAGCACTTGCATATTGTCTTGAAAATCCTACCTGCCCAACCCTTTCCCCCAAATCTTCTAAGGATTGTTGCAGAGATTAAAAAGCCAGTAGCACTTTCGGGATGAAGGTCCCCATCCGAGTCTTTGCCCTTTTCCGCAGAAACTGGACAACAAATATAGTATTTTTTTAACAGAGTGTAATTTTAAAGTTTGAATTTATTTTACTAGATGCGTCACTTGTATGTGATCATTGATGGGTCAAGAACAATGGAAGATCATGATCTGAAACCTAACAGGCTCGCATGCACACTGAAAGTAAGCTGACCTTACCCTTTAATTCATTGACGCACTGTTTCCCAAACCTGTCCTAACACAGGCAGGTAAATTGCATTGCAGACACTTTATTTACTTAACTTGTGCCACTGTAATGTTACCTGCAAAACCTGTACTGATGGTGGAACCTAAAGTCACAAAGAAATCGTTGTGCATGTTTATTATTATGCAAGTTTATTAAGTAACACTGAGTTTGATCAAATCAGGACATGCAAGTCTTTACTTAATAAAGGCAAAACAAGCCATTTACTAGTCTCTGGTTTTGTAAAATTCTAACTCCAGGACAGTCTCTTTGAGGTTTTCTGTAAAATATAAGACACTGGAGATGTTGCCTATAGCAATTACTCAGCTCCCTGCTGTCTTTATTCTAGTAGCATTTAGAATATGATGTGCTATGGTTTAATTTCCTCTTTTTCTAAGAAATACATTTGTAAGAGCACTGACTGTCCTGATATAATAGTAAACTATAAGCATTGGTTAAATCGGCTGATTTAGTTATGGGATTTCTTACCAGTCATCTTCTTTTAAAATGCAGACTGATAAAATCATACAGTATAGCGATCTTACACAAATCGAGCACAGGGAATATATAAAGCTTATATTTTCAAAATATAATTTCTTAGAATACATTCTATAAATTATATTGTTCTATAACGTAATGTTTTTATTGTGTATATACTTTTATATTTGTTTAGAGGAGAACTATGAGGCGAGTGAAAATCACTCAGCCTCATAGTTCTAGCCGACCTGTGACAATGAAACTGTCACAGGTTGGCTCAATAGATCGGGAAGTGAGCGAACACATACCGTCGCCCGCTCATTTCTCGATCATCTCCCTGCAGAGAGCCTTGACTGTCACTTACGGCTCCCCGCAGGGATTCCACCACTCCCCTGTCCGATCCTCTAGCGCTGACTGGCGGAACGGACGGGGGAGGAGGCGGGCACAGCTGGCTTTGCCTCCAGATAGGCAGAACCAGCTGTCCCACAGCTGGGTGGATCCAGATAGTAATGTTGGGATCAGTCACGGCTGCGGCATCTCAGTATACCGTGAGCTGTAGCTCGCGGTATATTGAGCTCTGGGTGACGGGAGGATGCTAGTTTGTGTCCTCCCGTTACCCTTAGGAGAACTATGGGGTAAAGCACTGACCCCATAGTTCTCCTTTTAACAGAAAGTTCTCATAAAAGAATGTGGTGTTGATGAAGTCTCAGCACTGTAACTCAGTTTATATTAAGGACCATACACTGTCTTTGGGCTAAATTCTGGTCTCGCGCAAGTGAATGTTTTGATAGGCTGCAGGCATTAAAATAAATTAATTAAACAAAGCCTTACTGACCTCTGCCTCTACACATATTGCGGCGTAATTCATCCTAAAATTACAGCAGGTAGAAGGTTGCAATGCCCTGCTATCAAGAAAAAAGACAGGGGAGTGAAGCTGTGATATCTGTGCAATTATTTGAGGATTCTTTTTTCCACAGTGACTGCAGCTACAGTGGTCGGTGAAGGTCATTTTAAAGCTAATTTACTAATTAATAAACGTATCTAAATATTTGAATGCCCAAAGTCTGGGTACAGGTGCTCTAAAAAACAAAATAGATGCTTTACAGTTTGTTATACTTCATGGGCAATTTAAATGAATTAAGTCAGCTCGCCATTAACATACACTGAAATAATTGTTTCATATACATTTTCTCTTTCCCTTTTAGATGTTGGAATATTTTGCGGATGAATATTTTGATCAAAACCCTATAAGTCAGGTGTGTAACCATTTTATATTTGTTACATAAAGTCTTATTATATTTTTTTTAGCATTGACTGTACTTACAAGAACAGCATGTTATTATATTGATTCGTTTCTATGTGTTCGCAACATTCGTTCCTTTTGTAAATATCCATTTCTTGTGAAAACTAATACAGCTTGCTTTTGATATTAGTATGCAACGCTTCTGAGATTAACAGTGCATTGACCTGTGATTTGATCCTAAGGGTCTATTCGCACAACTTTCACCCAAGAGTCACACTTTTTTAATGGGAGTCAACTGGATACTTGTGGGAATCCTGGATGAAAACATTTATAAATAGACTCCATAGCATCTTTTTTATTAATAATACCAACCACAAAAGAGCAGAATGGGATTTTTAAAAATGCATTTAGAAGGTTATTTGTATGCTCTATGAAAGAATCGTACAGTGGAGCTCTACTGCCACTAGGTATGTTTCAAGCATAAGGTTTTGATAACCTTTATATTGTTCCAGTTCATCCACAGATAAGGGAATTTCCCTCTTTGGCTTGTGAATTTTGCCATACTTATCTGATATACCTGGTCATAATAGTGTTGCACAGTTTGGAACTGTGTACCAGCTTATATACAAAATATAGGATCACAGCTCAGTTTTGAATTTTTCTTCCTTGTCAGCCTTAATCAATGTTCACTAGAACACATATTGAGTTTTAGGTTACAGAACCGTATTACAGACAGACAGAAATAAAAACCTGACACCCTGATATAGAGATTGCATGTTTAAATTAGTAATATAGAAATGTCAGTGGTTTAGGAGTGATAAATAGCAGGCTTGTATTTTAAATAAAACGCCCACCTTGAAAGTAAAAGAAATAAAGAATACATTTGGATATTTAACTTCTAGAAAATGACTGCCACATTGGAAGGGTTCTGTAGTAATGGAGCTGGTGGGTGGGTTCATTGTTTGGCTACCCATCGCCCTGTAGCTCAGAAATGTTCACCTCCTTCCTCTTCCCCGAAGAACACACACAATGTTCACAGTCGGAGGACTGACTGGCCTTTCCAGGCTGCACTGGGAGGAAAGGTGAAGTTACTAGAGGGAGGAGGAAGTGGTCGGAGAGCCCAGAATATCCATGCTCAGTCTTTCTGCTTGTCTTTTGCATGTCCCGACAAAGTTGACAAGGGGAACAGGAAAGCAGTGGTGGAGTATGCAGTTGCACAGTTGCTAACTGGCAGAAGGGTACAGTGTCTTGGGTGTTATGGGTTCAGTGTTGGGTGCTAGGAGGCAAGGAGCTCCAGAGTCAGTGGTTTAGTAGTGTTGCTGGGTGACCAGAAGGGACATTGGCTGTGTTGTTGGGGTATAGTGTCAGGGGTGCTGTGAGGCAATGAGGTTTAGAGTAAGGAGTGCAGGGTGTACAGTGGTTGGGTGGCAGAGAGATGCAGTGTCAGGGTGTAGTCTCAGACTGCCAAGGCTACTGGGTTCTTCATTCTTTCTGCATGAGCCTACAGACTCCCTTGCACATACCAGCAATCAGCACTTGACTCAGGAATATTCCCATCATTATTGTGGCTTTCTTCAGAACATCATGTGAAATGTAGAAGCCACAAATAAGTTATTAGTGATGGGATGCTTCCTGTGCTGGGAGCTGATTGGTGGTATCTGCAAAGATCACTGCAGACTAGAGAAGATGAGCACCGCTGTCACTGAATGCCAGGCCCGCTCTGGTTGTAGTGTAGAGTTTTTGTGATTACCCAAAATACTGCCAATACCTGCCGTGTGCGCAATAGCAGCAGTAAGATAATATCAATAGCAGTGACACACTCTTCAATTTCCAGCCTGTTCAACGAATGGGCATGCTTTTGCTAGTACATAATAACATAAATAAATAATGCACATTTGATGATATGAGACAATTTGGGTGCCTTGTAAAATGTATCCCTTGGTTATATAACAAGAATATACACACTATGCCCTCTAGTGAATATAAACATATACCTCCTAAAAGCAGCAGTTTTTCTGTGAAAAATTGTATGAAGGACTAAGTAACAATAAGAAGTGCTAAATGTTTCCTAATAAAACCTTATGTGCACAATAACAAAAATAGAAAAATTATATATATATATTTATTTTGTTTTTAAAAACATAAGGTTTTATTAGGAAGCACTTAACACTTTTCTTTATTGTTACTTAGTCCTTCATACAGTTTTAGGATCTGTATAAGCGTAAGAGAGGACCGGATGACAAAACAAGGCAACAGCATCAATAAAAAGAGATCCAAACGGGAGAGAGGGCATTCTAGAACATGCGTGATGATGTCACTTCTCTAAAGACCTGCCCTACATGTTTCATCATGTGGACTTTCTCAGAAGCAAGATACGCTGTTAAAAGCTTCTTTGATTTAAAAGGTTACGTTTATTTTCATGATGGTACATTGAATTATCCATTAGCTTTGTATAGTCAGGCAGCACAATATCTGCACAAGATCACTTGCCTGGTACATTATGAAGGAGTCTTTCTCTTATTCCTTTATTCACCATGCAATACAGGTTAATTCCCCTTGGCTTCATAATGGCTTTAGTGTAGGGACAAATCAGTGATTTCATCAGGAAGTTGTCCCCACAGGAAATCCCTAGAAATATAAGAAGCTGAAATTGCTATACTTTTTTTTTTAATTAAACAGTTTTGTAAACAAACATCAACCATAAATATTCAATAACATTTATAAACATACAAAAAACAAAACGCACCAAGTGTCGATCGTGTGCGTCCCGACATCAGAAGCAGAAATAGTCACTAGAATACAGTCATACAGTTGTGGAATCACCATGATAGGCATATAAACATACTGGACACCCGCATAAGCAGAGGATGCAATAGCAGTGGTAAACATATTATAACCACATTGAGAGTACTAAAGGGACACAACCAAAAAGTAGTAGCTACTGAGCTCTAAAGTTCAGCCATGAGGACCAAACTAAGGAGAATTTACTATCAAGCCCCTTCCTTTGGTACGTTACATGTTCGAAGGCAATAATCCTATCCAATTCCAACATCCACTCCGAGACAGATGGCGGGAAGTGCGATATCCATTTACGTGCAATGAGTCTCCTGGCAGTAAATAAGGCTCTATGAATAGCTGTCCTCAAATGGGTAGACAATATGGGGGAATCTATTCCCCCCTAAGAGGCAGGTAAGCGGAGACAAGGCAAGGGAAACGTTAAAGACTGAATTAATCAGTGCAACTATTTGGCTCCAATACCTGACTAGTTTGGGGCAGCGCCATAGTAGATGTCTTAATGAACCCTGGTGCAATCCACATTTCGAACAAGACGGATCATCTCACACACCAATTTTAACCAGAAATTTGGGTGTTCAGTACGATCTATGTAAAATGAAAAGTTGGGTGAGGTCGGTCGGTTGCAGCGAGTGAGGTCAAGGGTACGTTATGGAGGATGTCCTCCCAAAGCTCATCAGTAATAGGTCCGATATCCTGAATCCATCTATCTCTTGCTTTAGTCATTAAATGAGAGGTAGAATTGTTCATTAAGTTAGAATATAGAAACGAGATAATACCCTTCGTGCGTGTCGACTGAACCAGTGCATCTAAAATCGAAGTGAGGCAGATAGGTGGAGGAGCCGCCCCAAATTGAGATGAGGGCATATCTAACCTGAAGGTACTTGACAAAGTGTCTGTTATTGACGTTATGTGGAGACTCTAATTTGGTGAAGGAGAACAGAGAACCATCGACGTAGAGCTGGTCAACTTTACGTATCCCGGTCCTACTCCATGCAGCAAAGCCCTGTATATTAAACAGCTCTGGAAGGTACTCATTGTTCCATAACGGGGTGTATCTAGTACAACTCGTAATACGAAGAATGCCCTTCGCGGCAGCCCACACCTTGTCTATCAACTGGATAATGGCCAGGTGGGAAACCTTTTTAGTGTATAACTTTGTTTCCAGCGAACTCAGCGGATCTAAGCTGAGTAAACAGAAAAGTGGGAAGGGAAGGCATCAATGGTGTGGGATTCATACGTTCCCAGCCAGAGAGGTGCTGCAGTTGGGAAGCGAAAAAATGGAGCCATGGGTTAGGAAGAACTAAACACATCTCCCCCCCCGATATTTTTTTGCCTGTGTAAAGTTTCCAGCTTGATGCAAGCCTGTCTCTGTTTTCAGATGAGGTCTCCAAAGATACCATTAATTTGTTTTAAAAGTTTTCTGGGGGATCCAAACAGTGGAGTTATGCAAAATGTATAGAAGTTGAGGCATCCAGTAATTGCTATAATGAAAGAAATTGCCATTTCTATTTTCTAAATCTTTTTGAACGACCCTTAACTATGTCACATTTTTTAACACTTTCAGATTGGCCTCATTATCACAAGAAATAAACGAGCTGAGAAGCTAACAGAGCTTGCTGGTATGATAAGTATACTAACATTCATTTTCACACAGTACAAATAAAATGTGTTCAATTAATTTTCGATTGTGGCATTTAAGTGAGCACTGCACCATATATGAACTTGTGTGGGTCAGTTACATCTGTATAATAGCTGCCTGGTAGCATCTGGTAGAGTGAAGATGACAGATCTGACTCTTGTGGGTCAGCAATTCTCATTTTAAGTGCCGCTGACTCTCATGAAACAAAGTAGACACGACATCTTCTATACTCTATGATGCTGACCAGCAAGGCAGGAGTCTGCTTTTAAGATAAGATAGTAAGGATAATGTTTTACAATTTCCTATCAATTTACAAATAAATAAAATACAAAAAAAAAGATAAAATCCTGATTTCAACAAAAATGTAATACAAACTACACAAATCCTAATAAAAGAGATGAAACTGAGAAACACTTTTAAAATCATGTACGGTTGAGATCTGTAAAAAAATTAATTAAGGCAACTGCATTTGCTGTATTTTTTCTTGAAGATGTTTCACTGGTCATCCGACCAGCTTTCTTCTTGAGAAAACTGGTTGGATGACCGGTGAAACATCTCCAAGAAAAATACAGCAAGTGCATTTGCCTTGGTTTATTTGTTACAGATATACCATGACCTGGATGAATGAGTACCTTCACAGATAAACCTGTAATAGTTTTCTATTACATCAAAATTGAATCTATAAATTTTTAAGGACACAAATTCATCTTCAACAGGTTTGTTTAAGAAGTCCGAAGTACTGTAATATCCAACAGGCAACCTGTAACCTCCTCATCCTGATACCTGAAGAACAGGTGCTACAAATTTGATTGGCTACTATTGGTCACTGTGTGTTGCAGTATAAGAATGTGGAGCAAATCAGGAAGTAAGGAAGTACTGCTTGTTGAATGTTACAATCTAGGGAGGAAATTAAGTACACATGAGCAAATTACAGATCTGATAACGAAGCATGCATTCAAAAAAATGCTTATTCTACTTTAATGTGCAGATTATGGTGCACTTGTTATTATGTGTTATGGCAGTGCACACGCAACCCCCAAAAGGGAGCACGAGTTTCTGGAGCATAACAAAGCACTCCATGGAGTAGATTGGTATTAATCTGAATAGCTAGGAAAAGGGGAATGTACTGCAATTTGTTTGCTTTGCATTGGCAGCCTGACTTTTAGCTGATTTACTCACGGCAGCTCTCCTCCTCACTAGAGGTTGGAGTGCCAGTCAACACATTGCAGGAGTTGAAAGTGCCTCTTCAAATGTACAGTGTGTATCAAATCATAATAATGGGACAATAATTCCACAGATGTTTAACCGCTTGAAAACCTCGGCTATAGCAGATATACACTAAAATACTTCAAAGTTTCTAAAGCGTATCTACTACACAATGGGTAGGCAACCTGGTGCTCCAGCTGTTTTGGGTCCCATGAGGCATTGCAAGACTGACAGCCACAGGCATGACTCCCAGAGATAGAAGCATGATGACATTTGTAGTTTCACCCCAGCTGTAGTGCGGAGGTTGCCTACCCCTGTTCTACACCCTGCTCCTCTCCTCCGCTGCTGCTCCCCCGCAGCAGTGTTGACAGCTGGGACTTGCTATTGAGGAGAGACAAAATGCAACCACTCTTGTGTAAAATGGCAAATAGTTTCATTGTTTCATTGTATTTACTATTTTATTCATATGTAGATCAAAGGTGTGGCTTTTGATCTGCATATGACATCAGTTAAATGAACTTTACCAGTGAAATAAAATGTATTCCTATTTAACCCTTTATTAACTTTTAGTGACATTAAACCCTCGGTTTTCTTTTTGCATGTATCTACTGCTAGCAAGTAGTAGATATATGCAAAAACATGAAGAAGAAAAAAGTCACCAAAAAGTGTCTAGGTTACCTGTGTTTCCACCGCTCGCTCCCGTCCGCAGATATGAAAAATTCTCGAGCAAGCGTGAAGGATCATGGGGCGGCGGGCGCATGCGCAGTAGAGATCTTCGGCCGGCAGAAGAGTAGAGACACTGGGTAAGTCAATGCAAGCAGCCCGGCAGCGTGCACGCGCACCGACTCCGTGGGACATGGAGACAGAGGAGTCAGCGCTGGATCAGAGACCGGCACCAGCGCTGGAGGGATTGCTGAAAACTACTAGAAAGAAAATGATCGGATCAAGGGGCATCATTTAAGGTAAGTCCTTAAAGCAGCGTGGGGGGGCAGGGGGATTTTATCCTTTAATGTCACTTTAACTGAAATCAGCCCTAACTTGTTTTTTTCCTCTCCTTCTTCCATTGGCTATTATTTTTCAATTTTTTTTTTACCATAAATATTTTACCTTTTTGTGTTTTTAATTCGTATTATTGAAATATAATTTAAAAAAAGTTTTAATTTGCAAATAACTTTGTACCAGAAATGTCATTTTGGTTTCATTATAAAGAGGAACAAAATAAAATGTATACTTTTTATGTACATTAACAGTACTTATTTTAAAACGAACAATGGTCAAAATAGAATAAAACACATTTTATTTTCCATTTTCGTAAAAAAAAAAAAAATGTTCAAGACAATTTTGCCACAAGAAAGTCTTGTTTTTTTAAAATGATACAATACATGTTACTAATGTATTATCTTAAATTATGATAATGTTCTCATTGCATGAACAGGCCTATAAAAGGAATGTAAGATCTAATCTGCTCCATAATCATGGATCTTTATTTTCTGTTCTCCAGGTAATCCCAGACAGCACATAGCTGCCCTGAAGAAGGCTGTAGACATGAGCTGCAGTGGCGAGCCATCTCTTTACAACTCTCTCAACCTTGCTCTGCAGACACTGAAGTCAGTAACTGTGTCTTTTTAGTGCTTGTCAATACAATTGTGCAAATACTTTGCTAAGTGATCACTCTGGACATTTGCTAGTTTTATAATTAGGGTGCTAAACCCCTAATCCATCTCCAACCGTTCACTTAGACTTTAAGACCATTATAGGAAGGATTTTTATATAGCTTAGTTTGGCCACCAAGAGAAATTGGTGAGGGCTACAGCATACCACTGCTAAATTATATTGATACAGTAAAATGTGTGTTTTAACATTTATATTGACCATTTTGTTTCATGTTCGAACATTTTGTTATACATATAGGTTCTGCTTCTTGCTTACTAAATCGACAAACTAATAATGCTTTACTGCTCTTGTCTATCAGTCAGCTCAGCCATATTATAAAGAATCCAATCTTTCATGAGCATACTCAAAAATCAGTGCAAGAAGCAAAGCACTAAGGCTGGGTTCACACCTGGGCGTACGGAATATGCCCGTGTGCCGAGTGTTTTTATCGCGGTAAAAGAAACAGGCGACAAGCGGGCGTTTCTGAGGGCTATCCGGCTGTATCCTAATGGATACGCGTGGCAAATACGCCCCAAATAAGCTCCTGTACTTCTTTGGGCGTAGGGCGTTTTACAGCGCGTTCCTACGTGCTGTAAAACGCCCAGGTGGAAATCATGCCCATAGGCAATTATTGGTTTTCACATGTTGAGCGTTTTACAGTGCGTAGAAACGCGCTGTAAAACGCCCAGGTGTGAACCAGGCCTTAGTGCGATGTGTACTAACCTACAAACCAATCAGAGTCGACTTTACTGAAGTCAAAACAATACAGTATGGAACCTGATTAGTGGTTAAGGTTACTTCTATTTGCACTGGTTTATTGCACAAGCCCAATTGGAATCTGATTAGTGGTTATGGTTACTTCTCTTTGCACTAGTTTATTGCATAAGCCCATATCTAATTATATTACCAGAAGAGCTGTCTAGTAAATATCCTTCTTGAATCTGTTTGGCACACATGTAGCCACTAGAGGAAAAAAATGCACAGCTATGTAGAAATCACCATCATGAAATCATGGAACAGGATGCATACACAGATTACCATAATTTGATCATGGAATAGGATCTATACACACATGACCATCATTTGATCATGGAATAGGATCTATACACACATGACCATCATGAGATCATGTAATAGGATCTATACACAAATTACTATCATGAGATCATAGAATAAGATCTATACACAAATTAGCATCATGAGATCATGTAATAAGATCTATACATAAATTACCATCATGAGATCATGTAATAAGATCTATACACAAATTAGCATCATGAGATCATATAATAAGATCTATACACAAATTACTATCATGAGATCATGGCATAGGATCTATACACAAGTGAGATCATAGAATAGGGTCTATACACATATTACCATCAAACTTGGCAAACTTAAATTTTTTGAAAATCTTTTTTGATTGCAACTTGCTAAAAGTATGTTTTTATAGGTTTTGTGTGAAACCTGTGTAACTCTAATTTTTGTTTCTTGCACAAAGTGGAAAAGCTTGATCTTTTAAAAAAAAAAATGTTTTTGTTATGTAGACACATGCCTGGCCATACCAGCCGTGAGATCCTGGTGATTTTTAGCAGCTTGACAACATGTGATCCATCCAATATATATGATATGATAAAGGTAATTGATGTGTTTTCTAACTTTATCTTTAACTTTCTCAAATTATTATAATATGCCCCAGATACAGATATCATGTTATCCACTAGGCTGCACAGTGTTTGGGCGACAATGAAGTGCACATTTATCTTGTAAATATCTAAAGTGATGCCAGCAATATTTCCAGATCTATACATCTAGAAAAGCTCATCCCTGGCATTCAAGAGAAAAGTAAACTTTAATCTGATCAGAGGGGATATGAGTGATATGCTAGAAATTACTGGCTCTGCTGCCAGGAGGAGTATAATAATATTACAGTGACTATAGTGTATAATGCAAATCAGGTTGTTTTTACGTTGTATTATAGGCATGCTACAGCTAGCTATGAAATACATTTCCCCTTAGCCCTTTCCTTGCCACCGTCAGTGGCTTTCACCTATCTGCTATAAGCTCATGGTCGCTTTAGCAAGCATAAACTTATATCAGAAGGGTTCGCCTGACGGTAAATGAATAACTGTCATCAACGGCTGACATTTGGAGACCAGGAACGGAAAGCAAACTAATGCTTAAATGCATTGCTGATGTCTGCAGCACTATATGATTTTTGTTAAATAGGGTTTAATAACACGTTAATGAATGTGCTGCCTTAATGCAGTGCACGGTAACTTGCGACATAATGCGTGTAAGCCAACTGCAGTAGACAGCATAGGTGTAAATAAATCTTCTAGAACATAGGTACTTTAGATACTTTAGAGGGTGGCTGGATCTGCAGGTTCAAACTTGCTGTCCACTGGCATCTCTGTGTCACATTGCACATAAATATGAATGCTTGGCATTGTCTAAACGTTTGTTTTCATAGGGCAGTGTGTTGGACAGCATTTGGGGCAGCATCTACTGACAATGTTTGTGGGCAGGTTTATATTCAACATTGTTTCGAAGGTGTGATATTGATTCTGAAATTGTTCTGCTACCTCATTTTACATTTTTTGTTTTCCTTTTTTTTTTCCCTGTCAGTGCCTGAAGGACAGTAAAATCCGGGTATCTGTCATAGGTCTCTCTGCTGAGGTTCGGGTCTGCACTGTGCTCACTCGAGAAACTGGTGGTGAGATATACTTTTAATAGCTATATGGTCCGCAGTAATTGTCATATTTTATTATTGGTATTTATATAGCGCCGACAATTTTACGCAGCACTTTACATGTGCACATTCACATCAGTCCCTGCTCTCCAGGAGCTTACAAACTAAGGTCCCCATCTCACATGCATACATACAGGGCCAATTTAGAAAGGAGCCAATTAACCTACAGCATGTCTTTGGAGTGTGGGAGGAAGCCGGAGGAAATCCACACAAGCACATGGAGAACCGGCAAACTCCTTGCATATAGTGACCTGGCCGGGATTCGAACCAGGGACCCCCAGTGCTGCAAGGCAGAATCCGCTACGCCACTGTGCTGCCCACTAGCTGCTGTAAGCTGCTGTTTATACCACCTAAATATACAAGATTTTTCATATTCACTTGATACTGCACTGCTTACTATTTGTTAATTTTCTTAAAAGGTTATCGGAATCCTCTGCTTTAATTTATGACTGCAGCATTTCTAAGCAATGCAAACCAATACAATTTGCCAGTGCACATACTTAAATACATTCAATATGTTATGCAAATAATTTGTCATTGTAAACATGATCCCACTTCAGCGTAATGCTCCAGTGGAAGATTTGCATACACCTTGTATTGGATTTATAATGTTTTAGGCCAACTGTATTGTGCTGTGTCCTTAACCCAGTTGACTGACTAGCCTTAGTACCACACATAAAATAAGATCACATGTCAAAGCCAAGGCTGAGGGTGGGAAGGGAAAAGACAGTTTTTTACACTCTTTGTCCGTACACCTTGAAGAACTAGAAAAGTTGGCCTGCTCTGTTAGCATTTCGGTACTAGCCGCACAAACCCAAAGCAGGTGAACTGTATGTACTTGCTACAAAATGCAAAACCTGTGCAGGGACAGCAACTTTGAGGAGTCAGATTGCACTTAGAGTCAGCATTATGATGAGTGAGTGGCTCTGTTTCCTCCCCTCTGCCTTGCCTGCCTTCCTGTGATTGTGCAGAAATCTTGCTTTCCATCCACCTTGCAGCAGCTGATTTCTGACCTTTAGAGCATGTAATGCTACAGGTGACACAAATAAATGCTAAATGGGCAATTTATCTGTATCAAGTTATATACTTATTTACTGGTACCTTTTTACTGATTGTCATTCATGTCTGCTTACTGTACAGTAAATTATTTGAATACATATACATGGATCTTGTGATTTTTCTTAGGCGTCTATCAGATCATCCTGGATGAGAGTCACTACAAGGAGCTCCTAATGCATCACATCAGTCCACCTCCAGCAAATAACAGTTCTGAATGTTCTCTGATACGGATGGGTAAGGGACCTTTCATTCCTTTCTGATTATGATAAAGAGAGGTGCCCTGTCACCTGTAAGTGCAGGAAACAACAGTTTCCATGGGTTTTTGGTCAAGATAATGGAGTCTGCTAAGCATTCATATCACTGAGGATCAAGTATTTGGCTCCATTCTTTTTAATAAACCTTCAAACAGTATTTATAAACAGTATTTCTAACCTTCAAACAGCAACTGTAAGCAACAAGGTAAATTAATCAATAAACTACTAAAACTCTCTACTGTGTGAGATACAGCAAGCATACTAGAGTAGGCGAACTGAGAATACCTGACCTGCACAGACACAAGGTTCAGTGGTTGGTATCCCCAGAATGCCAGATTAGCAACAACCAGAGGATTTTAGTTAGTTCCAACATTGAAAGCAATGTAGTAAGAAAGTTTAAAATCGTGATATAAAGGGGAATCGGGTTTAAGAACAAAATGTCTGATAAATAAGAAAGGTTGGGTTTTAGTTAGGCAAAGGGAGGAAACAACAGTATTTCTGCAGCTTATAATTCTGTATGTTGGTTAAATATATTTTTCATTTCTATTGTTTATACTATAGGCTTCCCTCAGCATACAGTCGGTTTCCTGTCTGATCAAGATGCAAAGCCTTCTTTCAGTATGGCGTATGTATCAAATCCAGTGTAAATAAGACAAAGCTTCAACATTAATCCTTTAGTTTTCGCACTGACTGCCCCTAGGTGTAGAAATCCACAGAATAAAACACTGATTATTATTGAACAACTTTACCCAAAATGTAAAAACAGTGTTTAAAAATAAAGAATACAGCACTAAATACATGTTAATTCAAAGCAAATATGTGGAATATAACATGGGTGCAAAAATGGAAAAAAGGGCCTCAGTCATGAAGGGGTTAAATGTCTGGTGATCTTGCAAGTGACTTTACCTTTTCTCCAGCTGAATAGCCTACACAGAATTCAGAGCTGGCTTTTTGCCTTCCTTGGTACTGCAGACAATACTCCCCCTCAAGGAATGGGTGTACTGTATAACACCAGTTAACTCCCCAACCAACGCTCCCCCTCCTCCCCGAACAGTTTATTGTGTGCAAAGGCAGAGCTGGTGTTTAATAATTATGTTACAGTGGATCACAGCCGGGTAGCTGTTTACAGTCTCTTTTTGAATTTTTAGGCTTCAGGCCTAATAAAAAGTTAACCACTTGCTGTCCATGGCTGTTCCTGAATGGCCGGACGGCAGCCTTATAGGAGCTGGAGGGCGTCTTAAGACGTCCTTCTCCTTCCACCACACGTGCGTGGCGCCCAGCATGCACACGAGTGGGGAAACTGTCGGAAATGTAAACAACCGGCGATGGCTGTTTAAATTCAAGCGATCGGGCGTCTCTAGAGATCGCTTGTAGTAGGTGCCCCCCCCCAGTACACAAGTACACAATCTCCCTTTGGTCTCCTCTCCTGTCCCCGAATGCAGGAAGTGACTTATATTACATCACTTCCACATTCCTCTGTCACTCTCTGGTACAAAAGCCAGAGAGAAGCTGATGAAGCAGATCTCTGCTTCATCAGCTTCCCTGGGGATCCCTAGGTGACATTAGGGGTCGGGGAGACCCCTGATGTCTCCATAAAGAGGACCTGTTATGCTAATTGGCTATCACATAGGGGGTTTCTTAGCCCCCTATTTGATAGCAGTAAAGTTAAGTGTAAAAAAGAAAAGTTTAAAAAAAATTAAAGCATAAAAAAACGATGTGACCCCCATCTAATAAATGTTCCATAACATTTTAAAGGGAAACAGGGTTTTTTTCAAAATTTAGGGTACTTTTTTTTGCTATACAGTAAAAAATTAAACCCAAGTGGTGATTAAATACCACCAAAAGAAAGCTCTATCTGCCCCCAAAAAATGGTATAAAATTAATTTCAGTACAGGGTTGCATGATGGAATAAATGCCAGTTAAAGTACCGCAGCGCTGAATACTGAAAAATGGCCTGGCCAGGAAGGGGGTGTAACACCCTGGTCTTCAAGTGGTTAATAAAAAAATGAAGAAAGTCTGCAATGTGAGTCATGAAAATGTGCACACATATACATAATCACTGCACCTCTTCATTACCACAATAAGTGCTAATCACTGTTTAATGCAATTCTTTATGGTAATATACCCTGGCTTATGCATAGGCTTGCAAATAATGATAAATATTTTCTTTCTTGTTCATTGAGGAACACGGGAAGTCATCCACTTTTGTGTTATAGCTGCCAACAGGAAGATTGGACACTGGCAAACAAACTGTAGGACAGCCCAGGATAACTCCCCTGCTACCAGCATGCTGCAGTTCTTTTGCTAGTATCCTAGGAATATGGTTATCTTCTCTCCAGCTCTGATGTTGGAAAGACTAACCTATGTTTGCTAGGACTCTTTTTTTTTGTGCCTATCTTCTATTTTTGTTTTGTGTCTGGATTTGCCAGTTTAGAGATGCCCCCCCTTAATTGCTTCACTATCCCAATGTTTAATAGTTCAGTATATTATTATAGTAATGCTGATTTTCAGGGTAGAGCATTATAGTGTAGTATATTATATTGGGCAAGTAATGCCTATGTATAAAAAATAGTTTTTTTCTGTTTCAGGCACCTGGATAGCACTAATGAGCCCGGCCTGACTTTAGGAGGCTACTTCTGCCCACAGTGTAAAGCAAAGTACACTGAGCTCCCAGTGGAATGCAAAGTCTGCCGTGAGTATATGAACACTTTAATTAATTCATCAACTGTTACTTATACCAATCCATTCGCCCAACAGTTTTTACTATGGTAAAAGAATTTTTAGAGCGGTATTAACCTCAAAAATGTCTTCTTACTTTTATTTGTACGGTAGATGGAGAAATTTACAAACACATTTCTAAAACCCAATTTCCTTTGTGGCTGTAAATGATGTTGTTCACTGTTGAATGAATCCACAGCCATACAAGAATCAGGGCAGTCTAGCCATTTATATTCATGCTAGGGGATGTTTGTAAGTCTTCTTCGTGTCTCCTGGCTCAGCCTGTTTAGAAGGAGGATGGCTGATCCTGGATAGATTTCCCTGCTGGTAACCATTCCCTCCCTCCAGTATAAGCCGACACATGCAGTGCTTCCTCCTCCTTGCCCATAGGGACAAACATGCAAGTCCACCTGATGGGCACTTGCTTACAAAACAGTCTTTTGTTAGAAAAAAACAATTTGGATACATACACATCCAGTTGCCATCTTCTGTTGACACTTCCAGGCCTGTACTGTTGACATGAATGTCTTTCCTATTTTTGTTTTGCTGCTCTTATAACTGAACTTTCCTTTTTTTTCTCTGCCAGGCCTTACTTTAGTGTCTGCTCCGCACTTAGCACGGTCGTACCACCATCTTTTCCCATTAGATGCTTTCAGGGAAGTTCCTCTTGCAGAATATAAAGGGAAAAAGTAAGTTTTTTTTCCCCCCCATATCATATTAATAAAAAAATCTTATACATTTAGACAATTTGTAATTTCTCTGGCTCATGTCAGAGAAGTGTTTTGAGATGCTTCAGTTTTAAAAGAAATCTTTTAAGATGGATTTGTGTTTTACACATTTGAAGATTTCATCTGCCGTGGTAGCGGACTCCCAGAAGAAGTGCTAGTTTTGGGGCAGACAAATCACTTTAATACTGCGGAGGTGTTTCTTGTGTCCCCCGAAACTAGCATCATTTCACGGATTTGGGCAGTGGCAGCCTCCACCACAGGACAAAGTACACATTGTGTTCTGTTTAATTAAAAATCACAGCGCCATTTTTTCTGAAATATTAAATTCTGCATCCATTCCACAAATGCTCATGGAGAACGTTTGAAGAAACCAAAATTATACTTTACCTGACATTGGCCCTAAAACAATGTCACTGGTTTCCACTATTATGCATAAAAAGTTTAAGGTAATTATTTATGCATTGTTCTCCTAGAAATGCTTTTGAGCTGGGTGGAATGAAAGAGCAGGGAAGTCCTTTAAAAAAAATTAATCTCTATGAATTAAAAAAATACTTATGCAGTGTTTTATTTCATTTGACCTATTCAAGGTATTGTCGAGGCTGTGATGGAGAGATAAAAGATCTGCAAGTAAGTATCCTCATTTTAAAGTGCAGTATTTTATTTATTTTTTTACTTGTTCCTTTTTTCTTGTCTTTATCTCATTCTTAGACTGTAAGCCCTCAGGGGCAGGGCCCTCCTTACCATCTTGTCTTGAATTGTATTGTGATTGTAATGTCTTCCTTACATTGTAAAGCGCTGCGCAAATTGTTGGCGCTATATAAATCCTGTATAATAATAATAATAATTTGTAGCTACATTGAAATAGACATTGCAAAGTACAAATCAAACAGGTGTGCTACTTGATTGAAGTAACCCCTTCCTAATGCTCCATTCACACCTAGACGACACGTATTAAGCGCGTCTTTTTTGAGCGTTTTGCGCGCGTATGTTAAGTCATGAGTTTTTGTGAGCAGATCTTGGCACATTCATGTGAAGAGGCAAAACGTGCAAAAAAAATTGCGCCACGTTTTTTCAAGAGTTTTCTATTGAGTCTATCGGGACAAAACGTGCTGAATCTGCCCCAAAGTAGCTCATGTACTATTTCGAGCAACAGTCATCTCGTGATGCTGTCCTGGAAGACTAATGGAAATAGAGTTACCGGTAAGTCCTAACTCTGAATTTCTGCTTGCGGCAAAACTCACATAGAAATGAATGTGATTCCTTGGTTGGATCGTTTTGTCGTGCTGAATTGGCTATGACCATAAGCTTAGGTGTGAATGGAGCCTTAGAGAAATGTGCCAGTGCTAACCTCATTCTCGCAATGCTTGTTGGCTAACTGCCATGCTGACCCTGCGGCTTTAATACAGTCACAGACTGGAATATACAGCTCAGGAAAGTCAGAGGTCCTTATTTGCATACTTGTTCTGTGTTCATGAAACAGTAGATCAGCATGGCAGCCAGGGAATTAGTATCTGCTGAAAAATAGGTCAGCAATGGTAGTCTGTAAAGCTACACAGGAGTGGGAAGCGGATTCAGGGCAGAAGTGATTCAACATGAACTCCTTTCTGCTTTTGCATGTTAAATGGCCACTCCAGTGGCTGATATTTTACTGTGAATGTGTCTGCGGGTTCCTGAGACATAATAGCAACCCTTGTACTTCTACTAATAATCTTCAGGATGTATTCTTTTATTTCTACAGTGTTTTCTACTCTGAAACAAATGTGCAGTTTATATAGCTTTAGAAATACTCCATTCCTTAGAAAATCTAGCCAGTGTTGAATTTGGAGGGGGTATTTGTGCTTTTAGCACTTTTTTTTTCCCCAGCATGATCTTTTCCATATGTGGTCTGGCCAGACCCTCCAGTAACTGATTTGTGTCCAATAAGGTATAGACAAATTACCAGGGCACATGCATAACATTTTAACTTATGTGTTTCTATTGTTATTTGATAAACTATACAATTTTACCAAGTTTGTTTGACTCATTCCCAAGGAGTACATCCCTATGGGGGTTATCTTCTACTTTTCTATACATTATTTGGGTTTTATACCCCTTGGGAATTATTTTGATTAGATTTTTGAAGCATTAGTAAACTTTGGGAGCTTTGACCACTTTGGTTCACCTTATATGGGGACCCCCTATTATATATTTTTATATATATATATATATATATTTCTTTTCATTCTTTTATTTGTACAGCGTTTTCTACTTTGAAACAACTTTTCAGTTCATATAGCTTTAGGAACAGTCCATTCCTTAGAAAATCTAGCTAGTGTTGAATTTGGAGGGGGTATTTGTGCTTTTAGCACTTTATTTCTTTGGGGAGAAGAGAATACAGCAGTGAGTTGGTGTGAAAGCTTTGTCTATGATGCTTATTTTGTGGTTTAAAAGTCACTAGAGCTTAAGGATAAAAACCAGCACTAAGCACCTATGTTCTTACCTGTACATTTTTCAAATTTGTCTGTGAAGATTTCTGATCAGTTTAAGAGTTCTATTTGGAGTCAGGTTTTAATGCTTCTTGCTCTAAATCAGTGGTTCTCAACCTGTGTAACCTCAGGACCCACATTTGTCCTTGGTCATTAAGTCGCGACCCAAGTCGCACGGCAATGGAATGTGCAGCATTGCAGTACCGGGCATTTGGGTGCAGTTTGATCAGACTCTGGGTGGGAGGTTCGTTTGGTGTGTCATTCAAATTAATTGCAACACAACGCACCTTCCACACCAGAACACACAGTAGTCGCGATTGAGTGGGACAGTGCATTAATCGCATGGGACTGTGATTAACGCACTGTACTAGTGTGAATGGACCCTCAAAAACACTGACAAACACACACCAAAAAAAATTACAATTTTTTAAATGTTTTTAAGATCCACCCAGTCTCCCTTCCATATGAGAACTTGAGTGGATCCTTAGCAGCCTGGTGTCAAGTGTGGGCTGCTCTGCTGTGACGGAGCTCCATCCATATGTGCATTGCTGGTACAGCTCCCTTGCACGCCCTGTAGAGGTGCTGGGAGCCAGAATGTGACGTCAGAAGGGCTGGATTTCCCACAAGGCCAACCAAGGCTCGGCCTTGGGGCAGCAGGGGTGTGGAACTGTTATTTCCCGCTGCCCAAGCGGGTAGTTGTGTTCTACATTTAGCCATGCTTTGTGCAAGCAGAGCTAAATGTACAGCAGGGAAGCCGCTGCTTGTTTTGTACAAGTGATCTTAGCGACATTATATACAGCCTGCAGGTCTCCCATTCTCCATGCTTGGGGGAGTTGGCAGGCAGGGGGGCGTGTTGAGGAACCTGGCCTTGGGGCAGCAGAGAGAGTAAAGTGCAGTCCAGACACCTCTACAGGGAACGTATGGATGGAGCTCCCTTGTGGCCATACTTCCAGTCCACCCTACCTCAAGCTGACACACAGGGCCATATTTTGAATGGCCGCTCAGCACAAGAACTGACGGTGCTGCGCTAGGGGGAGGCTGAGAAGTCTCTCATTTAGCAGAAAGGCATGTCACGACCCACTGAGCAAGCTGAAGTTGCATACTTGTTGTCACTATGTCGCCCAGAAGAAGGGACCCTGCGTGGCCCCGAAACGTTGGCTGTTTGACGCATGTGACGATTGAATAAAAAGTGCTTTACTTCTTGCACACATCATCGAGTGCTGGTGACTTCTATTATGGACTGTATCTGACACCGCGCCATCCGTGTTGTCACTTTTAATCGATTATAATCGATTATGTCGATTAGTTGTTGCAGCCCTAATCCACTGAACATGGGGTCGCGACCCACTTTTTGGTGACGACCCACCAGTTTGAGAACCAAGGCTCTAAATGATGCCTTGTTTTGTTCCTGTCTAAGCCCAGCAAATCGTAGATTATAAGAGTTTATAAACTTACATTCGTAACTTTACATACATAACTTTGTGAGAGCTTTTTGCGTCTGGTAATTAGGAAAACACGAACACTGCAAGCTAATACTGAGACAGATCTGGATTATAGCAGTTTGGGCAGTTTAAGGGCTATGGATAACAATTCATACTTGCATAATGGTATGTGGTACATTTAAAGAGGTGTAGAAGTGTTCTCTACAAATCCGTCTCTGCGGCGCCATCCTCTTCTCAGATGTCATCAGAGGACTGGCTGCCTCTTCCAGGTTCTTTCAGCCGGCATGTCATCCGGGGGGGTTGGCTGCAAGAACCAGGAAGAGGGTATCTCAGGAGCCTATTGGCAGCCATACGTCATTCTTGCATAGGTGAGAATCCCAAAGTTGTAGGGAGGGTTCCCTGAAAAGAGTATTTAACCTCTTCCGGGCCGCTATACGTCTATAGACGGCGGCCCGTTAAAGTGGTTAAAACAAGAACACGGCTGCTGCAGCAGCCGTGTTCTTGGTAGCGCTTCTAACAGCAGGCAATTGCTGTTGACGTACAAGCGATCCGGCGTCTGTACAGCTGCCGGATCGTTTGTACTATGCGGTGCCCCCCACCCCCTCCGTTGGCTTCCCCGGGCACCGATGTCTCCGTGCGGCTTCCAGCCACTGATCTCTCCTCCGATCATTGGACCCGGAAGTGATGTGTATTACATCACTTCCGGTGTCTCTCTTACAGTCTGCGGCTCTTAGAGCCAGGAGATGAAGCTGAGGAAGCAGATCTCTGCTTCTTTGGGGTCCCTAGGTGACATTAGGGGAAAGACCCCTGATGTCTCTATAAAGAGGACCTGTCACACCCTATCTGCTATTACATAGGGTGTTTGTCAGCCCCCCTATGTGATAGCAATAGGGTTAGTGTAAAAGAAAAAAAAAGTGTTTAAAAATTAAAGTAACATATAAGAAAAATTTAAAAAAATGCAAAAAAAAAAATGTTTTAAAGTCCCTCACCCCCCACATGCACACACATACACAAGCAAACACGCGTCGGTGCGCCTACGTGCGAAAACAACAATTGCGCTACACATGTTACATATCGCCACGAACGTCGGAGTGAGAGCAATAATTCTAGAGCCATCAATCACTGTTAGCACTAAGCTGATGAGAGGTAAAAGTGTTTAAAATGTTCCCTATGCGAAATTTGGGGTATTGACTTTTTTGTGGCAAACGCAATTTTAAGGCTTGACGTGTTTGGTATGTATTTACCCGGCGTGACCCCGTCTTTCATATTTTACCAACAAAATGGTATGTTTCTATGCACTAAATTTTAATTCATTTTCTTTTTTCCTAAAAATACTGGTTTGATAAACATTTGCGCAAAAAACGTGCGACAAAAAATTGCAACTAGCATTTTTTTATTCTACAGGGCCTCTGCTTTCAGAACATATATCATTGTTTGTGGGCCTGAAGCTGTTTTCTAGCCAAAAATGTATATTTTATCGTGTGCGCATATAGTAAGAACATGCCCCAGACAGCAAGTGGTTAAAAAAGAAATAATAATGATCCAATTGTTAGTGAATTGGTGGGTAGGAGTGAAATGAGAGAAAGTGAGTGGGGAGGGTACAAGTCCGATTTGTAAGTAGCGGTAGTAATTCTGCAGCATAGAGCAGAATGTACAGCTAGATGTGTCATTTCAAATGTCCGTTGCTCTGTTTTTCTGCAGATCTAATGCCTGTGGCTGCTTTTATTTAGGTCTGTTTTAGTTATTTTTGCTGCATTGCTTTGCAGTGTTTGTAATGTATTCATTTTTCTTCTCAGGTTTACATTTGCAAGGTGTGTCAGTGTGTCTTCTGTGTGGACTGTGACCTGTTTATTCATGATTCTCTGCATTGTTGTCCTGGATGCATTCACGCACAGCCAAACCCTACCGTAGTATGATATCACCATCTCTATGGATCAAGTCACCTGCTTTTAAAGAAAAGCAATATGTGGACTGTGCCGATTTCTGTCAATGAAAATAGACATTAATGCTTTAAGATTGTGTAATTAATGGGTCAGTCCAACCAAAAGAGATATCTTAAGTAGAGGTGGAAATGAAGGGGAGGCGGCCCCTGGTTTTCTTGTATTCTGGGATTAGGATGGTGGAGTGCTGAACTCTAAGCTTGGAGGAAGTTTGGAATAAATACATGTTCCATGTGCATTTTTATAATATTACACAAATTAAAATCTTGCACACAGAGTGGGAACTCCTCAAAATGGCTACAGCAAGTATGCAGACTCGGGTACTGCAGTGCAAAGAGCTCATCAATAGAGACTATTAATAAATTGTCAGGTGAGTAACACTCCAGCCTCTACAAAGGGAAAAGAAAAACTGAAAAATATGTGTATGCTGGACTGACCTTTTTTGCTTCAACTGTAGCTTTCCAAGATGCTGCAACAATGTAATCTACACATTCTTTTCAAAATACTTTCACTTGTATATATTGTAAAAACTTGTTTAATAGTTACTTCATAAAAAAGAAATACCGTATATACTCGAGTATAAGCCGTCCCGAATATAAGCCGAGGTACCTAATTTTACCCAAAAAAACTGGGAAAAAGTATTGACCCGAATATAAGCCGAGGGTGGGAAATGAGGCAGCTACTGGTAGATAGATACCAATAAAATTACATGAATATTTATTTAAAAGAAAAATAACCTTGCCGCACACCGGAGCAGCAGTGACGCGACGCTCGGCGAGGTAAGTAAGATGACGCGCTGGCGCTGACTCGAGTATAAGCCGAGGGGGGCACTTTTCACCCAAAAAAATGGGCTGAAAATCTCGGCTTATACTCGAGTATATATGGTAATGGCCAAATGCACCCTTGTTGGTTGCCATTTCTTCCTTCACAGTTCTCTGTCACTGAAAATGATTGAGGCTCTTGAATTTCATGACATTGGGCCTCACTTAGAATGCATTCCATATATGATTGGGCTGTTTAAAACATACAATCTGTTGGAGCTCTGTGATGATGAGTGATAAATATCAATAAATAAAGCACTCATGAGAACTCCAGGATAAATAAGCAGGGGCCGTTGGGTGTGGCGGTCTGGGGATGTAACTCTTACTCCTGTCCTAGGCATCAGACTATGTGCGAAATGTTATCACTGTGGTTTTTGTATCAGAGGATTACACAAATTATAAGCTTATATTAGACATTAGTGGTTGGGTTTACGTCTACTTTAACAAACTACTATACTTGAGTTATTTGAATTGCAGTGCTGGCATATATTATCTTGTGTCCTGTCTGTGTGCACAGATCTCTACACCCAAAAATCATTTTAGGCACCAAAATCTGTCTGCAACAATTGATTGTTAGTTCGCTCTTCAATTGTCAAGACCTCAGCTTCTTTTTTTCTATCAATCAGAGTCTGTTTGTTTTTAAAGATTTTAGCTTGGGGTGATTATAGCACATCAGGCAGCTGTTGCTGATAGTGTGTTCAAGAGCTGCCTCTTTTCAACACCTCACTGCATCCTTTGAAGAAAAGAAAAACGCTGTGCACCTAAAACACAAGGTACACTGCCACCCCCGGCCATATTCCCATATACCCAAACAATTACTATTATTTATATAGAGCCAACATATTCCGCAGTGCTGTACAATTGTTTAGACAAGACAAGTAAGAAACACTGACAAGCATCATTGACATACAGAAACGGTAAGTGAGGACGACCCTGCCCAAACGAGCATTGTTTGATCTTTTATTAGTTAAAAGGTATATAAAATGTATAGTTTTTTTCAAAAATACATTCTTTATTGATTTTTCATTACAATCGAAAAATAAACGTGTACATAGAATACAACAGAACACATCAAGGAAACCCAAAACAGGCATCAGTACGGTATAACAGAATGACTGCACGTGTGGTCAACTATACTATATCTTAGCTCGGAATTATCTCGATAAACCTGCCACAACAGACCACTAGAAGTCACGGAGCATTAAGCACATAGCTTTTCCCGCACTCATGAGAGCGATGGTTTGGGAAAGAGAAGGTAGAAAGTTGGTAGGGAGAATATACCCAGACATTCACCAACACATCACCAGTGCTACTAGGTCAACACTGCGCACGGTCTGAACCCTTGATTGTTGACTCCAGTCCACAGGATTACACAGAGCAAAGGCATTTGCACATCTCCACCCCAGGTGGGCCAGCTGCCCCTACAGGACACACTTGTTCCTTTTACTACACCTCATCCATTGGGGCCATATAGTCCCGGGACGCAGTGAATTCCGTCCAGTAAAACCAGGTACGGTTAAACTGGGAAACTCTGTGGCTAGCAGAAGTCAGAAGATCCTCCATTCTGTAGATATCTCCAACCCTCGACAGCCACAGCGAGATCAGGGGCGCCGATGTGCTACTATCAAGAATAACCCCCTAGACTTTTATTTTTTACAGGGAACCCCTCATACACTTTTAATGGGCGTTGCAGCTAAGTTTAAGTTTTGTGGATTTCAAGCAGCATTCGACTAAACCTCTGTGAATTGAACGCAGGCAGATTTGCTTATCCCTAGTCCATTTAAATGTGACTAACTACTATCGATACACTCAAAGACAAACTCCGGTCCATCTGCATGCTTACTTCAAGCCCTTACTGCTTCTATTTCTGTGTTTCACCGCCAAAATATCAGCCCTTTATATAGGAATTTTAATACAATAACCTCCATGTAAGAATAACCCTCCCCCACCAAAGCAAATAGCTCAGTTTATTTGATCACAACTTTATGGGACTATAAACAAATGACTTTTGTTTACAACATATGTTGGCCTACTCTTCCTGGCACTCAATCAGCATCCTTATAAGATCTAAAAATTTATTTTTAGGCCCCTTTCACATGGGTGCCTGTCAGCTCCAATCAAACTGAAATTACTGGACCCATGTTAGGTCTATGGAAGACTTGTGCCCATTTACATCAGATTACCTCCAATCTTTCAGGATCAGGTCCACCAAAACAGGGGTATTCGAATGCACGCCAATTTAGATCCAGCTGCCCCTAGACTAGCATTGGGCTTCTAAACAGATCCACCTGAAAAACTGACAGTCGGACCTGATCAGACCGCCAGGCTGAAAAGCCTTTTATATAGGTGAGATTCTCCAAATGTTTTCTATTATCACGGAGATAACTTTGCTAATAAATAAATGGCCGTGTGAAGATGTGACCTGGTATTATGGTCTCAAACACACAAAACTGGCTGTATACATTTTCTATAAATATATATGTTCATACATACACCATTGATATTTGTCATGCCAAAAATATTACATGCCCTCCCTCCTTCTTTTGAACTTTCCTGACAATTTTACATTACAGCACAAAAGATGCATGTGACCAAAAGATACACAATATAAAGTCTGTGATCAGCAACTGGCTTAATTTGGTTATGGTTCTAACTAGGCATATCACTGATACTGAACATTTGGGTGAGTACTTGTATCAATACACGTGGGCCTGTGGTACCTCGGGATGCTGGTATCGGTACTCAGTATCGGCAAGTACCGATGATAAAATATCAATACTCGATACCGAAAAACTGGTATCGGTGCATCCCTAGTTCTAACCATTCCCAACTATATTCATATTAAAGAAAAGGTTTGGCTTTAAATACACTTTGTCATATACAGTATATAGATTTGTTTATGTAGAATTTATGAGATATAATATCATCCTTCTCTACTAAATCTTTACATCATCAGCAAAGAGTAATTAAAACTTTCCTAGTCTAATTTCACACTAGAATGAATCCCATGTCCTGAGTTTGAGAAAGTAATCACTTAATTGGGTCAGAATGAAACACTGGAGAACCTCAGTTTTTCCCAACCTTTGACAGACAATAAACTAATCCTAACAATGCCTTATGTAGAGAATGGAAAGTGGCACCATGTGTCACGATACCAAGGATGTGATCCCACAAGCGAGGAGTTGGCATGGGATCCCCCAGGGTACGCAGTCTAAGGCCTGGTTAACACCTGCACGTTCCCAGAACAGGCGACGATTCGCGTATTTTCAAATGTGACCACCGCATGTTTGCTGAAACGCACACAAACTTAAACTGTGCTTGCGGTGCCATTCATTTCTAATGGCACCCCAAACGCTGCCGGCAATCACATGATTTACCGCCACGTTTTAATGCATGCAAAGGAGCACAAGCACAGCAGAAAAAAACACGTCATGTGCGACGCACAAAATAGTGCAGAATCCTTTTTGTAGCGTTTCAATGGGGTCATATATGCGCGTTCCTTGAAAGTGCAGGTGTGAACCAGACCTAAGGGCGAGTTGGTATTCCGCCAAGGATTCCTCAATGAAGTTTAGGTTTAGCTGCGTGCTGACCCCAGGTTTACCCTGATCGACATATGGAGATTACCTGTACACACAGGAGAAGGAGCACGGTGAAGTGAGTAGAGCACATGCTTGTAGAACCACAGGTACCAGCAGAACCACTGCAGCAAAGAAGTAACAACAACTGCAAGCCTGTGGAAACACAGGTAACACATCAGCTCTGCGGCTAATCTTTGACACCATGCATGACCCAGTACAACAAAGGAAGCATTCCAGAGTCACTTATTGACTGCTGTGTAGTGAAGGTTCATGGAATGGTACAGATTGTCAATGAAATAAAGTTCACTACTGTGACTCTTCCATAGGACCCTTGGGTGCTATTATTCCACAATACACCTCAGGGCTATTTTAACACTATACACCTCAGTCCGCTCTCTAAAGAAATCAGTGATACTTCACCTTCTAAAGGCATCTTAAGGATCCTGGAATATTGGAGGACCTCCCGGCCGCGTCCCTAGTAACAGGCGGCGTGAGATGAGAGGGGAGAGAGTGGCAGGCAGTGCGCATTAGACATGTGCGGTTCGTTTCGTTCCGAATCGAAATTCGGACGAATTTTCGGAAATTCAGACGTTCAGATGTATTCGAATTACAGATATAACGAATACAAACGAATCCGAATTTCCGTTTCCAAAAATCATTAGCGGTAGTTCGTTTCGTTTTCGTTTCTTACTCGTTTCATTCGTTCGTTTGTTCGTTGGAGCAAAGTGACATTAGAGA